AAGCTGAATCTGAGAGATAATTAAATTTAAGATTACAAGAATTCTTTTAAAGGTTTCAGTCGTTCATTCATTCAAGAGGGTGACCTAAATAGGCTAGTTTCAATTAGTCTATCTATCCATCTATCTATCCATCTATTTATTTATCTATCTATTTTTAATTTCTTGAAACAATCATCACATCTTAGACATCTGACTTATCAAAAATTGTTCCTCTGACATTACATTTTTTTAAATTCACTCATTCCTATCTCTTTTTTGAGGCAGTTCTTTGCAGAATATTGACGCACAAGAGAAATTTATGTGCGTCCTAGTTGAGAAAATGTATACTGAAGAGGGCGCAAATATTCTCTGAAGATCTAAAAATGGAAGTATCTGAATCCGCCTTAAAATGGAATGGATGTAAGGATAGAAGGGTAGTGTAAAATGTATATAAAGACGGTTAATACGGTACAAATCAACGCTAGAATTAGCAAATCAAAACAAACCCGTCTCAACTGTTTATTTTAGCCTGAAACAAAAAGGGAAAATGTCCCTTTTATGTTTTAAATTTTCCCAGATACATTATAAGGGGGAGGGGGTTGATAGACTTGGAGATATAAAAAAGGAAAATTTGGATCGGACATTTCTTAAAAGATAATTTATAAAGAAAAAAAATATTAAAAATTTATTAGGAAATATATATTTTGTTTGGAGATTTCGACGCGGTCCTGAGATCATTGTTCTCCCATGGGACCTCCATAGACCATTGTCCAGATAGGGGGGTGGTTTAAGAATTTCATTTTGTAGATAAATTTAATTTTTATTTTGTTTTAGGTATGTAACTTCAACCAGTTGTATTTTAGATTATTATTGTGTTGAAATTGTATCTACAAAACGTTATCCACCCCTTAATCCCTCTCCCTTGCTCCTGTTGCATCACATATTCGGGCTATTGTCCAGTATTCTGGCCTCGCTAGCCCTTGGGAATGCCAGCTCCCTTCAACTAAAACAAAAGTCTTGTTAATCCCTCCCCCCTTTATAGAAGCCCCCCCCCCCTTTATATAGGAGTCCTGACAGTTGTGGGAGAATTTAGACGGCCATATTGTTTCCAGGGTTTGGACAGGCAGTCACAGGCATTGTTTAATAAGTGTTTTAAGTTTAAACAAATCTGATCAAACAGTTGAATCTTATGCAATTGGCGGGAACGGTTTGATTTTGAAATTCATCCTAATTTGTGTTAATGGCGTCTTTTCAAAATTTCTTAGCAAAACTTTTGCAATCTGCTTCCTTTGTTGAATAAAATGTTGCAATCCAATGACTGGACATAGGTCTAAATATAGATTTAATCTGGTATAGGTAAAATAAAGACAGTTTGATTTAAATTTCGGTGATGGTGATGGACCAAATCTCTGTAGAGTAAAAAGGAGATGTTAGTTCCACATTTATTGAAAATATATTTCGGTCTGGGTTGACCCTCGTCAGTTCTTGAGATTCAGTAGGTATACAACCCCGATTTAAGCCTAAAGTGAGATAAATATGTTTGTTAGGAAAGTTAACAAAATGTGAACAGCCTCAGACCAATACTTTTCGAGTTTGGGGAGGGGGTCCCAGAGACTCCCCCTCCGCCAAAACGGGGTAAAAAAAAAACAATAACAAGCGAAAACGCTATAATTCTTTAGATAAATTAGTTAGTTATGTTAGATTTTTGTTCATATGCTGTTACTACAATAAGAAAAAATGCAAGATTGATGCGTAAACGTCCCCTCTTTTTGATACCCTATGTCAAAAGGGAGGGGGGGTCAGGGTGCAGCCCCTAAGCAACCCTATTGCCAACATTCCAGATTTTTACCACGCTAGTTAGGCGTAGTTGTGAAATGGACCAGAAATCTGGACATCTCATCTACTCTACTCTCACATTTTTACAAAAATTTCATTGAAATTCCTTTTTTATGTTAAGCTCATTTTGATCATTTTTTACACATCGGTGACTATGTTGAAGGTTGTCAGCCCCCCCTGATTTTTAAAAAGAAATTTCATGTTATCTGTGTTAGGCAAATATTTCAATTTTTTATTTATTTTTAAATGTCAAGATATTTTTTTATTGGTTCGTCTCCATTCGTTTATTTATCCTGGGAGTTTGGAGGGGGGGGGGGGCTGATATTGTTAAAATTAGGATATTTCAGGAAGGGTAAAGGGGGTGGAAATCTTGTTTAAATTATGAAATTTCAGAAATGTTATATGGAGGAAGTAATCTTGTTAAAAAAAGGATATTTTAGGAAGGGTGAAGGAGGGTGGAAGGGTGATCTTGTTTAAATTAGGATAGTATAGAATTGTGTAGGAAGGATGAAGGGGGTGGAAAAGTTAGGATAGTATAGAATTGTGTAGGAAGGATGAAGGGGGTGGAAGGGTGATCTTGTTTAAATTAGGATAGTATAGAATTGTGTAGGAAGGGTGGGAAAAGAAGCTTTTACATTCTCAGCTCCTTGAAACAGCTGTAAAGTGTGGAGCTGGATCGTAAACAGGGTTATAAACATTTACTTCTTGGTGAAGTATCTTTTAGATCAACTTTGTCTCATCGCCGTCGATAAATTGTCATTTCTCATCAATAATATCGTCGACGAATCATTTTTCTTCATTAACGAATATCTAAGAAATCGTTCATTTATCAATGGATTTCTTGGGATCTTTATGTCTTGACGTCAAAGATTTAATGGAATTTATTGGTTAGTTTTTAGATTAATGTTAAAATTTGATTATTACTTATTAATAAAATTTGGGCCTAATCAATTAACAACTAAAGTTGTTTGAAAACGAATTGCAAACTGAAGTTTCACTCATAATTTTTATAAAATGAACATTTTCTCCCCCCCCCTTCCCCTTTCTTCGAAAAGTTAAGTCCTTAATATCTCTCTAATAATATTGAATCTTTCTCGAGTTTTGAATACCCTCCCACGCCTCTAACTTTCCCCCCACTGTTTCTAGTAGGGAATATGAATTTTAAAAACTTTCATTAGACTTTCTCATAAAACCATTTGATTAAAAGGTCGGAACAAACGAAAACATTCGAAATTACAGGCGTTTTGGTTGAAATTATTAACAATTTGCTCGAAATAGTGATATTTTGTTCGAAAATATGGACATTTTGTTCTAGATTATTAACATTTTGTTAGAAATTATTAACATTTGGTTCGAAATGACATTATTATGTTCGAAATTATGAACATTTTGTTCAAAATTATGAACATTGTGTTCAGAATGATAACATTTAATTCAAAATTATGAAAATTTTGTACAAAAGAATAACATTTTCTTCAAAAATATGGATATTTTGTTCGAAATTATGAACAATTTGTACGAAATAATAACATTTTGTTCAAAATGACAATATTTTCTTTAAAATGGCAACTTTTTGTACTAAATGACAACATTTTATTCAAGATGACAACTTTTTGTTCGAAATGACAACATTTTGTTGTGATGTCAACATACTGGTGATATCAACATTTATTTTGTTCAGTATTTTGAACAAAATAAATGTTACATTACGATTTTGACATTTCTTACATTTCATAAAGAAGAAGATATATATTCCCCCTGTATTTGACATTTCTTACATTGCATAAAGAAGAAGATATATATTCCCCCCTGTATTTGACATTTCTTACATTTCATAAAGAAGAAGATATATTTTCCCCCTGTATTTGACATTTCTTACATTGCATAAAGAAGAAGATATATATTCCCCCCTGTATTTGACATTTCTTACATTTCATAAAGAAGAAGATATATTCCCCCCTGTATTTGACATTTCTTACATTGCATAAAGAAGAAGATATATATTCCCCCTGTATTTGACATTTCTTACATTGCATAAAGAAGAAGATATAATACCCCCTGTATTTGACTATTCTTACATTACATAAAGAAGAAGATATATATTCCCCCTGTATTTTCCCCTTTAGCTGGGTTATATGTGACACTAAGATTAGATAATGATGAATATTAATGTTTGGAATACTATTTATGTCGTTGTATACATTCCTGAAATATGTTCGAGAACTACATACATGTTCATGCTTTGAAGTAGCGGGGAGATTTTAGCAGGAGTATATAATTTTAAATACCGCCCTGAAGGGGGGGGGATTAGACATCAACGAACGTTTTTATCCATTTTGCGTATTTGCTACCAACAAAAAATCATAAACATCTTACCTTAAAAATTAATGCACGTGCGTACTTATTTAACATATGAGTTTGGGGGATTTTCTGAAGGAAATCTTTAAAAAGGAGAGTTTTCCTAAAATGAAGGTTTCGGGAAACAAATTCAAATAAAAATATTTTGTATTAACCAACCTATTTTTTGGTGGTTTCTTAACATTTTGTTAACAATTTATTTTTAAGTAAAATTTGTTTTACCAAATTTTATAAACAGCAGTCTCCTACCGCTGTATCTTCATTTTAGCTGATCATTCATCTGTTTTCTGTTCTTCTCTTTTAGATCTACGCAGTCTAGTCTCTTGTAGACAAGGGAAAAATGCATTTTGACACATATTTCTGATTCGTATTATTCTTTAATTTGATACAGATACTTAAACTTTAAAATCTTTAACAATTACGTTTGTTCCTTTTAATATTCTTAGTAATCTGGGCCATTTTTTACCGTCCTGGAGGGGGGGGGGGAGGGTGAAAATCTGGACAGTATCTGTTTTTTTATTATTCATTTTTTGATTTTTAGTTTAAACCTTTTTAAGTACACTTCGCAGATAAAGTTAAGAGAATTTGAAAAATTGATAAGTAAAGTTTTTGAAGATCTTGAGAATAAAGTTGATGTGGGAATATTCCCCCTAGAACATGATGCTGGAGATGCTCTAGTAGTGTCCAGAGGGTTTCTAGGGGGGGACAGGTGCAGGGCTTCAGTTCCGCGTCCCCCCTCCCCCAACGGCGCCCCCCCCACAATCCAAGCAGTGCGCCCGGCGGTGCCTAGCGTGGGAATATTAGAACATACTGAATCTGGACGTAGAGCTGGAAACTCGTGCAACTTTTCGGCTCCGGAACCTACTCTAGGTCCCTCACAACATACAAGTGTAAACTCGGACTCTGTTGATAAGTGACACTTGAGCAATACAAACCATTCCTGGAATTTCAAGATCCAATTATTGGTATCTCCAACTCTTTGAAGAGGGCTCTCTAAGAGCTGGTGTTTGAAAAATTGTTTCAAATAGAGTTAAGATTTGTTTTGATGATGCTAAATTGAACTAATGCTGCTAAACATGGAAGCTCTGGTTGAGCTGCCCGAGATTAAATCTGAGATAAAAGCAGAAGATTTTGCTGCTCAGCAGCAGCAACAGCAGCATAGTGTTAGTGTTAATTCTCAGCAGAACTGTCAATGGGTAAGCAGAATCATAAAAAGCAGATATATAGGCAACTGTATTCATATATACTGGGGAACCAATTTAGGATGAGATGGAATATATCCCGTCTTAAATATTCATAAATCATAGTTCCTTGCTGCTTCAAATTTTTTTCTATCTTTGCTAAGTCTGTTAGTATTCTGAAAAAAAGACTAACCAGCTCAGACTTGACAAAAATAGCATTTAGATTATCATATTTAAAAAGTTTCAGGTCGTGAATAAGCATAAGAAGCAATTGTATAAAGAATTATTTAATTAAAGATGGAAATAATTATTAGGTGTTTGGTATTTTGTATTGACAATGTTTAGCTTATTTTGCATACTACAATTCTAAGTTTCTAGACCAAAAATGAAGTTTAAATTGCAAATATATTTGTTAAGAAGTATTAAAATTAAATTTGTTTCTATAAAATGTTTCAATAAGTTAAAAATAAAGCTTTTTATAAAAAATACTAGTTACAGGTTAAATATTAATTTTAAGGATCTTAAAGAATCTTTTAAACTTGAATAGCAGATCACAGAATTTTAACTTAAAGATAGAATCTAACTACACATTTGTTAAACTAGAACATATTGATAGGAATATCTAAAAGGTATAAATTTCACCGCAATGGAATTGTACAGAGCCAAATCCAGAAAATAACTCCAAAAGCGCATAACAATTTTTACAAAACATATTCACCAATATATTGTATAATTCTAAGAATCCTAAATATGAGACAAATAAACCAGAAAACCAACTCGTGCTATTGTTATATAATGTATTGTTTACACTGCCTTGTGCTTACAATATAAAAGATGGGCTGCTTCAGGCCATTCAAGCAGTCTTGGCTTTGTCTGAGCTCATTGTGAAGACAGGCAGATTAGGCCGGATAATCCAGGCATAATGGGCTTTAAGTGATGGCTTAGTTGGTTTGAAAACTGGGTGGGTTTATAAAGGAATTGATTGGGATAAATTATATACGATTTTCACACTTACTATTGGTGGTATATATTATATATTTGCTGAGAAAATACCCCTTATGAGAATGTGAGCACATAAATTAAGTTATACAGATAAGCCTAAGTGTTGTGACAGGTTGGATAGATTGATAGCAAGGAAGCCTACAGCTTGAATAATTAATTTTTCTGTTAAGTTTATCAAGAAATATATTCTTACGGCTGCAGTGCTTAGGATCCATTTAATTTTGATCCGGATCCTGGATCCGCATTGGAAAAAATGGATAATTTCTTTAGGATTTACTGAAGTTTTTCACAAAAAAAATAATTTTTTAATTTTTGTTTAATTTTTTTCGCTTATTTTTATCCTAAAACTTGATGAACCATTGAGAAATGAGGAAATTTTTATAATCTTTTTTTTCAAAAGTTCATATTTGGATTTTAGAGTTTTTGGTTGATCCGTGGATCAGCACATTTTTGCGGATCCGGATCCGGGAAGCCAAATCTTGTGGATCCAGTGGATCCGTATCCAGATCCTAAGCACTGCTTACGGGGAAAGCCAGCTGTAAACAAAACTTTGAAAGAAAAGAAAATGCGAAAATTTTGAACAATCTTTGTAAAGTTTGTTCTTTCGGGTTTTGAACACTCAAATCTTTTCTAGTTCAGCCGTTGTGACCATTTTATAGATCAATATAGAAAACACATTAATTTAGATTGAAGAAGATAATATTCTTTGTAAAAATATTTGAAAAATGGTGACACATATCCGCCCAGCTTGAATCCTTCTTTCTGGGGGATGATAGAGTTATGAAGAAAATTTAATCCATCATTTCATGAATTTGTTTAAGAGACATTTCACATAGTATGGTTCACGGGGGGTCGCCGGGAGGAGGGGGGGGGACCACCCCACGGGGCAGACCCTCTCATCTCTGGGAAAATGTGGCCCTTGGGACACAAATACGCAAAAATCTCTCCATTTAAATATTTAAGTGTCAACTTGAGATTTTCACTCATGTTGGAAAAATATAATAAAAATATATTCACTTCAAAATCTTTTCCTTTCTTGATTATTCGTTCTTGTATTTTTTGCAAGGAATATTTTACGAATTTGTTTTTAGGATAATATTAACGCAACATTTTAGTAAACGTATGTACACTACTTAAGTAACTTATGTAGTTTTTCCCGGAATGTTATATATTCCCGTTTTTCACTAAGTGATTGTTCTTATAATATCTATTTTTATTTTTACCCTTCTCTTTTTCAACATTTATAAATTCTGAAAACCATGTTTTCCCAGGACTGATAAGAAAATATCCCCCCTGTATTGCTCAAAAAGTAAAGTTATCCCAACCTTTCCCTTTTCTTGTAATCCTTTCAGTTTTTAGTTCCCACCCCATGAGAACTGATTTATAAAGCGTAACCAACCCTCCTGTACGCACCCTGTGAGGTATGTACGCACATCTGCGTCAAAGTTGGAACTTTCTTCAGTTAATTCCCAAGTTGAGAATTTTGCATAAAGTTTTCAAAAACTTTAATTTTGTTATCTCATGGTCAATTTAGAACGTAAAACGAAAACAGACAGACAAGTTCTTCGCCCCCTCCCCTCCAAAAATTTCTCTTTCAAGATTTTTTTCTTTCTAAAAATTCTTATTATTATCGTTTTGTTCCCAAAGACCGTATTTCTGAAACTAAGTCCAATTTTGTAATTTTATAAATTGGTTGTAATTTAGGGTCACGCAGTTTACCTCCTATTAGTTTTTAACACGTTAAACTAATTTTCTTATTAGTGCATTAAATCTTAAACTTTTTAATTTTTGTAAAATTGTGAGATTTCCCTTTTCCTTCAGGAAATGTAACTTGTAAGCATAACTTCAAGTGACTTTATGCCAAAGATGACAATGCCCGATTCACAGTGGTACCTTTAAATCCATTTTCTGATCTATACTGTGGAAGATATTTTCGTTTTTCCAGATTTCCGATAATTCCTACATGTTTTCCTGCTTTAGAAATGCGCACGTCAGTTTTGTAGAGAAACCACAATCCAAAATAATCGGTTTTCAAAATTATAGAAAGTAATATCTAATTCATAACTGGACTGTGTTTTAAGGGTTTACTTGCGAATCTGGCATTGCAAAGAGGTTCACTTGAAATTTCGCTTACAGTCCCTTTAAGTTTTCTAATTCATAAATGCGCACATAACAATGGGCATGCAAATTTTCTCTTACACATTTTATTTCATTAGCCCCACCAATTATATGAATTAAGAACCAACTTATGAATATCATCATGGAATTCTTTTTGTCTACATGGTGGTAAAAAAAAAACATGGATTACCGTTTTAATTTTTTAATGATGCAGGGTGTGTGTGTTCCTATGATAAATATCATAATGTCTGTTATTATCAAAAAGAGTACTTGTCATCTATTCAGCTAATAATCTCTCATGGCTTTTTTTCTATCTCAAACTTTCCCCGGCCCCGCTCTATTTTTTGTTTTTGTTTTGTTTAGTCTGAGAATTCGTTGATAACTGTATTAGATCTAAAACCTGTTTAATGAGAAGAAATAGTCTAAGAACTCCCAGCCCAGACTCTACACCTGGCAAACCTTGTGAATGAGTTGACTCTAGGTCCCATGAACTCCCCCTCCCCTTGGGAAACCCAAGTGGGAAATTCCTCTGGCTTATGGATGCAAGGTCAATAGCTTTGTGAAGTTTCTGGGTTCGATTTCCGTAGATTTTCACGGCCAGGATGTTGTTCCGGGTTCATGACTCATCCTTTCATTTATCTTTTTATTCTTGTAATCTGAGATTTTTTTAATTATTGATATAAACTTTGCATTCAATCTCGGCTCTTGTTAATTCATGTAAGATTCGAAAATTTCTGTGGCATTAAACATTTTCATTTTTGAGAGACTGAAGTTTTCAATAATAATTCTCTCAACATTTTTCTTTTTTGAAGATCTACATTTCTTTTTCTCCCGCCCCTTGCAGATTTAAATATTTGGCTGAATAAATATTCTGACATTTATCCATATTAACTTTGCATGCAAATCTATCAGAATATGTGTTTTATACTAGTTTGGAATATTTTTACAAACTGAAATTTTTATTTTTGTAGAAAAATATGTATAATCCCTCCCCCCCAACCCCCCCACCCCACCCATAAAACCACAATGTAAGTCAGGGGGATTTTATTAATCATTGTTGATTGTTGTCGAATGTAATTATATTTTACTAATTTCAATTGTTTTATGTAATCATAAAACTAAATTATTTTCATTTATCTTTTTATCAGGATTTTATTAATTTACGAATTATTGTTTCAAATATTTTATTCTTCTCATTCTTTGTATTATTAATTAAACCTTTTCTCATCCTTTGGTATTAAGTCAATTTAAAGGGAGTGACCGGCTATGTAAGGTAGTTGAACTGAGTATGCAGTTTTGTGGAAAACTTCTTTCGGATTCATTTGAGACATATTAAACTTATTAAAGATTTAATAATTTAAAAAAAAACTAATTCTGAAAACGTATCCACCCCCAAAGTAGGAGTTTTGAACGTCGAATTTGCGTTCAAACTCATGATTTACAGATCTATAAAAAGTTTAGTATGTCTCAAATAAATCCGAAAGAAGTTTTCCACAACACTGCATACTCAGTTCAACTACCTTACATAGCCGGTCACTCCCTTTAATAAGATAAAATGTTGCGATCTTGTCTCACTTTGTGTATTCTCTTTTAAATCTTGTATTATCAAAGAAACTGATCACTCGTCTCATACTCATATTTTCTTATCCCTTTTTCTTTGCAACCGGACGGCTTAAAGCTTAGATCATTTGAAATTTGATTGAGCAGCACTCATAGTTTGAGAGATCAAAGGTCTACGACATCAGGTTGTAAAGATATCAGGATTAGAAAATTATATTTAGAGAAGAATATTATTTTTTTTGCTTCGTTATTATTTCGTCTATCGTGCTTCAAACTTTCTCTTATTTTCTGTTCTTTATCTTTCTTTCTGTTTTCTCCTTCTCCTGAGATTTAGTTCTGTTTCCTCCGAACCCTCTCTCCCACCAGGAGCAACAAGAGTTCTGTCTCGTCTCAAGGTACCCTAGAAAGTACAACAATATTTAAACAGTAGTCTAGATAATACACTCGTACTAAATCTAGGTACACCACTCAAAATCTCTCCCTCTCCCCCCCCCCCCTTTAATCTCTGATTTACTTTCCACCCCTGAACTCGGTTTCCCAAGTAATTTTTGGGAAGACTTCCTCGGACTAATTGGCCGGGTTACCTGTGCAAGGGGGGGGGGGTAGGAAGGGAGGGGGGGATGGATGAGAAGGGGAGCAATCTTATGGTTTATTATTCTAAAATCCAGACTCTCTTAGTAAACAATCATTTTACTTCTTTAGTTTTCGTATACAAGCAAACATCCATTTTACAACCGCGTCCCCACCCCCTTCAGAATGCATCACCCCCCCCCCCATTTCCTGTACAAAGCTATGAGATCTAGGGTTAAAAGGATTCCTTGGATTTTTCTTGGGCTATTACTAAACTTAATTAAAATACCGTTTCCTTCGATTCTTATCTTAGATCCCTTTCCTTAATAGATTAGAAGTGTATCATTATATATTATATATATTTACAATTGTATAATTATTAGTTAGTAGTGAACACACTTTTCAAATAATAGTCGTGCTTATAAATGTGTTTTTATAGACAAAAAGATTATGTGTAGTGGTTTGAATTTGTCAGTGTTTGATTTCATTTAATCAGTCGATTCAAAAGTTCCCAGCTCGGGATGTATTTTGTATTTATGTTTTTTTTTTCAATTTGCCAACCTTCAAACCCATTGAGTTGAGAGAGGAATTGCCCCCAGCGCTTCTTTTCATAATGATTCAAATGATTTTTTGATTTGAAGAGATCATTCAACGTAGAGATAAAATACTAGAGAATTATATGCTTTGGTTCAATACTAGTAGGGCTTCAATTATAACTCAGTGGTGTATATTATTCTGAATTACCCCCACCCCCTGGGGGGAGTTATGATTTTTGATGATATGAGGGGGGGGGAATAAAAAATAGGACATCAAAAGGCAAGTTTTTTATTCTTTTTGATACCTTTTTTTACGAAAAATTCATTTATTTTCCCCATTTCAGCGGGAAAAAACCTTAAAAACGTCTAGGGGAAAAAATTACTTTCAAACGGATAATTTTTCGAGAAAATATACACCCCTGTTATAGTTTGAACGCCCGCAGGGTTTAAACTGTTTTACTTTATTCTTAATCAATGCTCGAACATTTCAATCAAATCAGGCAAAAGTCAGATTTAGAAAAACACTCATTTGAAAAGTTTAGTACACATGGATCCAGACTGCTATTGAAAGGTGCATCGTTTTTAAGGCTGGGTTGACTTTAACGTGCCGAAACACCTTGGCCTTTACCCAACTAACCCCGCTTATACTTTTTTGTAGCCTTAGACTTGTAAATTTTAGAATTTTAAAGTACTTGTTTTTAGCTTTAGTTTTTTTTGCAAAACTCGCATTGATTTTGCATAAGAGCTTCACTTTGCGCGTTATGGGAGTGTTCGCGAAATATGAAATGGGGATTTAGAATGAACCACATTGGAATTATGAGTCGATTGTAATGATTAAATTTATTTCCGATGTTTCCTGTAAGTAGTATAGTTTGAAGTCAGGAGATATGAAAAGGAAAAAGTGCAAGTATGAAAAGAAAGAAGTTTGAATAATGAATTTACAGATTCACTGTTGAATAATAAGCAGCTGATACAATTGTTTCTTGTTGCTATAAATTGTTGATCGTAAACCTTAAACCACATCCTTCCTCTAACTTTTCATTCTTCATTCCTCATTCTTCATTCTTCATTCTTCATTCTTCATTAAAGATTTTAATCATCTACATTCATTCATTCATTTCATTTTTTCCATTTTACATTCATTTCATTTATCTTATTCATTTCATTCGTATCTTAAGATCTGCTTTTAAGACTCTTGTTCTCAAGTTTCTAAAAATATCTAGTTCACATTATCCTAATATTACAACTTGTAACAATCCTATGCTCACCCCTCCGTAACAAATAGCAGAAGTTTTTATGCCTTTTAGACACCCTCCTCCCTTCTCNATGTCCTAAGAAGCAGCCTGAGTTAACTAATTATTTCTGTAAGATCGTCCCACGCTACTCTACCGTATCATGGCACAGTTATAGACAACAGAGAGAGGTTTGGAGAACATTTTTTCAATTCTTCATTTTCTTTTTGAAAACTAAAATTTGTTGCTGCCCCTAATGCTATAAGGTACAAAGCTGAAAAAAACCAAATGTCCCAAAAGTCCCAGAGACTTGGGAAGAGAAAGTAACCTTATTTTCTAATTTTCTAATCCCTATGTCTTTGATATTTATTCAAACCAAGACTAAAGGTCAAATTAGCCAACGTTTGAAGTTGAAAAAGGTTGCAAAGCTATAGGGATAGAAAATTCACTTTAAAAACTTCATGTTCTCTTGTAGTCACTTATTCTTTTTCAATTCCTCCTTTTCTTGAATTTTAAAAGTTTTTTACTCTTAGTCAGTAGCCTGTTCCTGTTCCTAGGTTAAGATATCTCACCTCCACTATATTAAATCTAATTTAAAGACTTGACATTGATAAAGTTTAAGGAAACGTCGGGTCACGGCCAATAGCCTAGAATGTGCTCAGGAGGTGCTCAAAAAACCGGGAGGTTTTGGGGGATATCCTTTTTGAGGGTTGGATAGGGGTTGATACCTGTTGGTTTTATTCTCTCCGCTCATTTATCTTATCTCCCCCCACTTGTAACCCACTAATTAAACCGTAAACTTCGTATACCCACAAATCCTATCCGCAAAGAAGGAGGGGTGGGGTCGGAAAATTATGGAAACCCCGAAATTTACTCAAAGTTGGGCTTCCTGTTTCGCGTTGAATCGGTGCATTGCGCTCCGTATAGGATTTTAATAAGCACTTGTGATAGATGGATAGATAGATAGATTGTTGGAAAGATATCTAGATAAATAGAGTGATTGTGGGGGTAGAGGGATAGATGGATAGAAGGATAGATGGATAGAGGGATAGAAGGATAGATGGATAGAGGGATAGAAGGATAGATGGATAGAGGGATAGAAGGATAGATGGATAGGTGGATAGAGGGATAGAGGGATAGAAGGATAGAGGGATAGATGGATAGATGGATAGATGGATAGATAGATATATTGTTGGAAAGATATCTAGATAAATAGAGTGATTGTGGGGGTAGAGGGATAGATGGATAGAGGGATAGATTGATAGAGGGATAGAAGGATAGATGGATAGAGGGATAGAAGGATAGAAGGATAGATTGATAGATGGATAGAGGGATAGAAGGATAGAGGGATAGATTGATAGATGGATAGATGGATAGATGGATAGATAGATAGATTGTTGGAAAGATATCTAGATAAATAGAGTGATTGTGGGGGTAGAGGAATAGAAGGATAGAAGGATATAGGGATAGAAGGATAGATTGATAGATTAATAGATTGATAGATGAATAGAGAGAAAGATAGGTAGAAGGACATAGAAAGAAAAAAGGAAATAGAATACAGAGGAATATTTGGATATGGATAGATGGATATGAATATTAGAAGATTATATTCTTACTGAAAAGATAATTAAAAAAAATGTTATAAGAAGTTGAACCACTGAAGGAAATAAATACAAATCGAAATAAAAATGAAAGATTGATGTTTGGAAAATGTTTAAAAAGCTTCGCATTCAAGTTTTGTATCTAAAATCCTCTAATCAATTCCAGCCTTTTTCCCCGTCTTCAAAGTGTGGGAAAACGAGGGAAAACTTCAGCTGTGCCCCCCCCCCCCTCCCTCCCTAGCTCCATTACATCCCCCTCTTTCTACCTAACTCAGCTTCCTAATATTTTCTGAGTTAAATTTGTCCACATGTTTTAAACAGTAGTTTCTTTAAACTGTTTATTTTTCCAATTTCAATTTCAATATTTCATGTTTTAATAAAGAATAATTCTTGTTCAATAATATTTCGTGTTTTCATATTTCTTTTCTTGAACAAATAATAATTTTCATTTTAATTTTAAATTTTTCGATTAAAGGCTAAGTCGTATTGTCTCTAAATTCTTTTCTGAAAAACTATAAATTTTTAATTTCAATTATATTTTCAGAATCAGTTCGGATACGGCGGAGAGGAATTGTGGAGCAGTGTGTACCCTGGAACCCCTAATAGTCAACATTTGGTCCCTGGAACCCCTAACAGCCATTTGGGATCCGTGACACCTAACAGTCATCTTGGCTCTGTCACACCCACAAGTCATCTTGGCTCTGTCACACCTACGAGTCACCACGCCCCTCCATGCACCACACCCCAAACCCACCATACACTTACAAACGTAATAACAAATAACAACGCTTACTTTTCACAGGTAAGAGAAGCGCCATTTTATTTTGAAAATAGTTTTTTTTCAAATAAATAATTTTTTTAATTGTTTCTTTTCACTTTATTTTCATTAGACTTGCCAGTTTCATCACCTTGTATGGCATTTTGATTATGACTTGTTGATCCGCATAATTTTGAGATCTGATTAGTTGAGCCAAAAGAGATAATAAAGACGGAAAGTACTGGATATGAAGGAGGGGTGCCGAGCATATTATTATGAACAATTTTATATCCTAGTTGTTTCCGTTTCTTAATTTCATTAATTACAACTTTTCTTTTTAATTTGACATCAATTAAGCCGATTAATTACTAGTAATTAGGCGGGAAAATAAAGATTTTTACCCCTCCCTCCTTAAAACACATGATCAGGATGAAGTTGCAAAATTAAAATGTTTGGGTTTTAGTCTCAGGTTCGATTTCCTAGGATTAACATGGAGTATTGAATTCAAATTTAATAACTTTTAAAAAGTATATGGAGAAAAATATTTAATGGCTTCGTCACAAAAGCCTTCAGCTGAGGAGCATTTAAAGATGATAAAGCTACGACGTGAATTGGTATCTCGATATCTGGGTTATCTCTGTGCTAAGGAAGCTTCCCGAGAACAATTTAATTTTTTTTCCATTCAGGTTCTTATTTTGGATTTTAGCAAAGAAAATGATTATTCGACCTTTCCTCTAATTTTTATAATTCCGATACCTTTGCAACCGGATGTTTAAAGCTTATGATCATTTAATTCAACAAAGTTTAAAGTTGCAACTATAAAAGTATAAGAAAATTAGAGTTTGAGGGGAGTTTTCAGTTTCTTTTATGAACTTTCTTCAGAACGACTGAAGTAACTTTATTTGTTTCAATATTTTGATGATGAAATGTTTAGGATCCTGGGTTACTAGCTGGATACTCAGAAACTAGCGCGCCGGTGGATCTTTCAGCTCCAAGACCTAATATTCATACAGATAGATACAGTGCCGTTGACGGTGAGTACACACAGACACTGGTCTCTATAATATATTGGGATAAAAAGACGACTTTTAGACCAAAGACTCTTGACGATATAAAGTATTTGATATAGACAGGAGTAAAAATGAGGAAGGGGGGTGATGATTTAAAAAAGGCTATGTTTGCCAGTTAAAATTCCATTTCATATTTTTTCATTGCTATAAAAAAGCTGTGGCTGTGCCATTGAAAATAATGAAAATAATATGAAAAATTATGATTATTTTTAAAAATTTCCAGCATTCTGGAAAATTATCAATAATAAATAATCCAATGTGGCAATTTTGTGTTAGCATTGCACGCATGTAACACTTGACTAAGATAAATGAAGAGAACTAGAGTTTTTGTTCCTTTAATATAGATATATTTTTAAGCCAAGATTCTCATACGACCCCCCCCCCCCATCCCCTCCAGATTGCTAGTCACAGCCCTTCAGCTTAAAATATATATAATTTTACGCATTTTTATATGAGCAAGATTATGATTGCGAGGTTTAAAATGGTCATCCATCATTCATAGTTCCATTCATTTATTTTTATTTATAATAGATTTTTAAAACTCATGTTTTTAACATTTATTTTGGTTTTGCGTGCATAAAGCATTGTGAATTCATAAGCATACGCAAATTAAAAAAAATATAGGTGCGGGGAGATTATATTTTTGGAAAAATCACCCCCCCCCCCACTAAATTCATTTGGTCGTTTTGAACCCCCTGGCAAAGTGATGTGATGTTAATGTGTGTACAGTGAACTATTGTTTATGTTTACAATGTAAACAATTACCAGATGGTTCCTGGTTACACAACGTAGTGTCAGTATGTTGGGGGGAGGGGTACACCCCCCCCCTCCCCTGTCTTAACAGATGCTTTCTACCATTTAGATTCGATTTGGTTTTCCGCTGTAAAAGTGTGACAGAGAAATTGATCTGAGCTTTTTGAATGATATCGGGATTAATCCCTCTCTTTATTAATCTCCAGATTAATTAACCGATCGGGATTATGGATACCCCATTCTAAAGTTTTCAGCTCTGTTTTAATGTTTAGTTCAAAGAGAAGTCGACATATGTGTAAATTCTATTCACAACGACACTCTTGACATGTCGTCTTTAGTCTCCTTCAGCTTCCATCCTTTCCAAAATATCAATTATTTTTTTCGTAATATTCTAGTTTTCCCTCAGATTATATTGATAGGTTTTGGCGGTTTGAGGGGATAAAGTGTGGGGGGGGGGGGATTTTATGCTTGACATATCCTAGTCCCCTTTGATATTATTTAATTCCCCTCAACACAACCACCCTCGTAGACATATACAGTTGCAACTCTTCTTTTGAAAGATGATACCCTTTACAGGAGTTGTCCTCTTGCAATCTTATTCAACCTTACTGCAACCAAAGTACACCCCCTGACAAATTAATTTTGAAGCTGTGGTCGCCCCCCTCCCCTTCCACATGATTCAGTAGTAGCCCCCCCCCCCCTGATTTAGTAGTCCCATCTGTTAATATATTAGTGTTTATATATTAGTACCTTCTCATTGTTGAAATTAGTTACGAGTCATCATACGTCATTAAGGGGAGGCTGTGGACTAATCTATAAACAATGTATAGACATGCTTCCCTTTAGAAGATTAATTCAATTTACATTTAAACCCAGTTCCATTATTTCTATGTTCATAAGGTTGTAATCTCTGTCGTCTGTTTGTTTGTTTATTTGTCCGATCATAACTCATGAACCCCTGGACCGAATTGCCTTAAGTTTTGACTAGGGAACTCGGGAGAACCACGCTTAGCTTGGTTTTGCGATTCTAAGTTGAGTGGGTCCACTTTTATTTGGCAAAAAGCTAAACTCAGTTATTTACGACCAAGCGCGGGTAAACGGCAGGAGTAACTATGAGTACCCTGGGCAACGCTGGGCAATTCAGCTAGTTTTTAAAAAATGTCAACAAGTTTATAATTGAAAGAACCAAGTATCCCCCCCTTGAATCTTCGTGTTTGATATTAAGAGATTATATAAAAATATCTTTATGCTACATCTGTCAACTCAATTACAGGGATGGATTAAATATTTTTCTTAAATATAACTTAATAAACTCCTTCTTGTTCTCTCGTAAAAATGCGCATTTTTGTAAAAAAAAAAAATTACTTTTTTTCCCCTGTAAGGGATTATTCTGATTGGTTTATAGAGTAGTATGGGGGGGGAGGAATCACAGCTGTTAAATCAAATGTTTTTATTTCAAATATCAGCTGATCATGAATTGTTTATAAGCTTTCTGAAAAATGCATAGTATTTTTATTTTATTGAATATCAGCCAAATTACCACAAAATTAGCAATATTGATATTCTTTAATTTTCAGAGAAACTATTTAAATTTCAGTAGGAAAAAAGTCCATTTTTGAGAGGGTTATAATGAGAAAAAATTAGCCAGAATAGTCCTGATCAATGATTTTTATACCAAAGATGAACTTTATTTTTATTAGAACAAGATATTGTTTGTAAATTATTCGGTTTTTGTTGGCAGAACCCATCCTGATTGTAAAAATCTTTGGTAGTAATTTAAACGCGGTGCGGAGTCATTAGAAATTCATTCATTCAACCCCAACACTGCCTGAAGGCCCTCCCAGGCACTTAGTCCTGGGAGGGGGGCGGTGGTAATTATTGAGGGGGATAAAAAATGTCATAAATGGGATCCTAAATGTACCACAAAATGGTTGAGGGAGGAGTCGGGATTGATGGATAATTTTTGAAAAAGATTTTCCCCCAATTTTACTCTTTTTGATTAACGACTTAGCTTGCTCGGGAGTCGGGATGTGTTTAATATATAACCTATTATTTACAATATACCCATCCCATTATTTACTATTCATCTTTTCATCTAAATATACTTCTATATTTGCTTTGTTGGTTTTTAATAAGCGTTTTAACACCTGAATTGATCATTCAAACTTAAACAAGTCTTATTTGCGTCAATTTTAAACATTCACAAATCGGCGAAAATTATCAATGTTTGAGAAGAAATTACTAACAGAGAAAAGTAACACATCATTATTATTATAGATTTTTATTTTTTAATAAGAAAATTTGTAATTATTGTATTATTGTATTTATTGTAATTATTTGTAATTTATTAGGCATTTTTAGCCGTCCGTGATATTTGTTATTTTTCACTTTGTGTGTATTCGTGTAGAGATAAGTTAGTATTTCTTATTTTCAAGCCAATAATGGAAACATCTATCATAACCTTACTGAAGTCTATTTCTCAAGTTGTACATCAATTCATTACCCATCTATTACATCTTTCTATCCATTTAAGGCAGTATTGGGAAAACCATCTATTAGCAGATTTCTTTTTATTTTCTTTGTTTTACTCCATATTGATTATCGGTACAAAATCGTATTAAATATTCATTTTTCATGCACTAAAATTAAAACGTCCTTGCCACAAATTCAAAATTTCTAATCTTTGCAACCCGCATAATGGTTTAAATCTATGTTACTGATGAGTTATGGATAAACCTTTGATATTTCAAACTTAGACTATTTCATGTAATAGAATTCAGTTTTAAATATCAAAGGTCCACTCCATCGGTTTGCAAAGTTAAATAGATTAAAAAATGAAATTACGTGACGAGATTTCTATCATTTTGTTATTTAGGATTTGACAAATTTGATATGTTAGTAAATGATATTTAACCTTAAATAATTGGATCTCTAATGTACTGCAAATTCTGTCAACAACCCACATTTATTTTTAGGATATTTTTCCATTGTTAAAATTTTCCTAAATTTTACTCTTAGCCTATCCTGGAAACAAACCGTCCAAGCCATATTAAACTCTCCCATGAGAGCTAGTATCCCTCTGAACCATGAGCCGACCCCAACTCTTCTTTTGAAAGATGATACCCTTTACAGGAGTTGTCCTCTTGCAATCTTATTCAACCTTACTGCAACCAAAGTACACCCCCTGACAAATTAATTTTGAAGCTGTGGTCGCCCCCCCCCCCTTCCACATGATTCAGTAGTAGACCCCCCCCCACCCTCCTCTCTCCGCCTCAACCGACTGAAACTCATCCGGAACTTAGTCTGTTTAAACCCGGTCCCGGAGTAACATCGAACCCTGCTCCATTCTCAAGTATAATACCCACCCGGAGAAGTGGTATTTTCTATCCTGGGATCTAAAAGTTTAGATTGAATAAGAAGTAAAGTTTGTGTGAGATGAGTTGGTGCTAAGTGTCTGTGTGTGTATGTTGTGTGAGATGAGTTGGTGCTAAGTGTCTGTGTGTGTATGTTGTGTGAGAGAGAGTTTTGGAGAAAGACAGTGTGAGAATTCCACATCTGTCCCTTCTACATCTTCCTTTCTTCTTACTCCTGGTATAAGATATACATAGAAACTCAGTGTTCATGACCAAACTCAACATGGACGAGGGTTCAAGGAGCCCCAGCACCACCATCATGCCACTACAGACTCAGTTAGGAGGACATAGTGAATACTATGATGAATATACAATGCCGTTTCTTGATGGATCTAGTCATAATAATTTACATTCATCCTATCCTACCCCAGTAGTTCATACAGGTACATCTTTCTCACTATTCCAGGTTTGGTTAGGTTAAGATAAATTTACATTCATCCTATCCTGCCCCAGTAGTTCATATAGGTACATTTTTCTCACTTTTCCAGGTTAGGCTAGGTTTATATAGATTTACATTCATCCTATCCTGCCCCAGTAGTTCATATAGGTATATCTTGCTCACTATTCAAGGTTAGGTTAGGTTTAGATAGATTTACATTCATCCTATCCTGCCCCAGTAGTTCATACAGGTATATTTTGCTCACTATTCCAGGTTAGGTTAGGAGATTTACATTCATCCTATTCTGCCCCAGTAATAGGTACATCTTGCTCATTAGATAGATACAAAATTATAATCACCCATTTCTCTCTTCATAAAAACCCACTATTTCTTCAGTCAGAGTACGGATCAGATCTCTGCAGTACGCGCCGGAAGCTTAGTTTAGGGGGATTTTTTTAACTTTCATTTCAATGAATATCCGAATCAAATGACCAAAATAAAAAAATTATCAAAATTAATCAATTATCGAGTGAGAGAAAAAACATATCCCACGTATGATAAATCTTGCAAGTGTGATTTGATTAAAATTACTGTGATTACATAGTTTGAGATAATAACGCAAGATTGTGTCTCACGGATTTAATTCAACCGTAACGCTGGGATTTTAGAGAGAAATTTTTAAAGAAGTAAATTATGATTTGTAAACATTACACAACTTTCAATAAATTATAATTATGTCTAGATGAAAACATTTCAAAATTATAACCTTAACTTAAATAGAACTTAAATATGCACAATATTTCTACAACATTCACTCGTTTTTAATGAGTGTCTGAGGTCTGATTTAATGAACAGCAAGAAAGAGTTCAGCTAGGTATGACTAGTTTAATTTTTTCTAAACTCTATCTTTTCAAACATTTTTTCAAATGATATAATTTTCAGTTTTTTCATAGAATTTTATAAAGTTTATAAAATAGTTTTTAAAAAATATTAGTTTTTGTAAATTCGGATAATTCATTATTTCCTACATTCGCAATCATATGATTATCATTCATTCATTTGACGTATGTGAAAACACTCCCGAGGCCTTTTTGGTACGGTGTATAATTTCAACAATTACCCTCACTTATAAATCTTGTAATTTTATACCCCTCCCCCCCCTCCACCATGTTTATTTCCGGAAGTGTACAATCAAGAAATTTGTCTGGTTATGATGAATACCGTGGGATGGTTTAGTGATATATGTCTCTAAATGGATTCATGAATCACTATTAGAGTTTTTATATTAACTAGTAAGTAAATACATATCCATGCAAAATTATATTTAGATCAAGAATCCTCGAATAAATAAAATCGGAAAAATAAATTGTATCTTTTTCCTCGGTTTAAATAAGGTTTGTTCTATCTTCAAGGTTTATGGTTAAGTTTAAAGTTTTTAAAACAGTTCTCTGGTTTGGACGGTTCTTTGGATTTTGACCAAACTTGACCAAACACTTCTTATTCAGCCATAGAAACCAAACTAGACATCTGCTATTTATAGATAGACGTAGATACCAAGGACTTACAAAACATAGGATATTTTATTATTATTATTTTTAATATTTTTATATTATTATTATTAATATTCTAGATTGGAGTGGGGATAAGTATAACTATGGAAGGTATGGGATGCTTCCTGGTTCTTTAACTCCTCCAGATAAACTTAACGGAGATCATTGCAGGTACATTCATTAGTTTATTCATTCATCCTTTCATCTTTTCATGTTTTCATTTATTCATTCTTTCATTCCTTGTTTAATTTATTTTATCATGTATATATATTCTTAATTATTTCATTTATTTCATTTTTTTCATTCATTTCATTCATTTCATTCATTTCATACATTCGTTTCATTCGTTTCATTCGTTTCATTCGTTTCATTCGTTTCATTCGTTTCATTCGTTTCATTCGTTTCATTCGTTTCATTCGTTTCATTCATTTCATTTCATTTATTTTCATTTATTCTTACAAATTCATCAAGTATGGATGGTTTTTCAATTTATGCATTCAGTTTTTTATCATTTAATTTTTCAATTTCTTGTCCATATATTCATAATTTTCTTGTTAGTTTTATATTTATTTCTATTTTTTAGTCCTGGTTTGGGTCCGCTACCAGGATCTCATTGGGGAGGAAACTTAGGATTATCAAGTATGGCTGGGCCAATGCAAACCCCACCATCCTCACCTCCTATGGCCATTGATAGATTTGGGTAAGATTTATTCATTTAGTTTTAGTTATAAATACATTTATACATTCAGCTTATTCAGTTAGCTTTACATTCATTTGTTCATTTATTCATCCTGTTATTCATCTTTTTATATATTCATTTATTCATTTAGCTCATTCTGTTAGTTTTACATTCAATTATTTATTTATTTATCAAGCTCATTATTTTGTAAATAAGTCAGTTGTTCATCTTCTTCATTTATTTGCTCATTCGTTTATCTGTTCTAACAAAAAATCTATTCATTTTATTAATTCATCATTATTTTTTTAATTTTATTTTTCTCGTGATAACAAATTCTTTAAAATGGTGTATCATGTTCATAATCGTTTTATCAGGACGGATATTTTCAATGTTCTGTTTTCCTAAATATGATTTATCTGGAAAAGTTTCTTGTTTTGCCGCCAAAACTAGTTGACTTATACTCCTCAACCAATAGCATCTCGTGACTCCATCATCTGGACCAATAGCAGGCCTTGACTTACACTATCTCAGCCAATCAGGAGACAAACTTTCAACTTCCATTAACCAATCACAGCAGTGGGATGCTTCCCGGATTTATCTCACAAAGTTCAAATTTTCTTGATGAATTTGGAAGAAAAAATTCGCTGTCAAAGTCCTTAAGTTTTCTAAGAAGGAACCGATTTTCTTGTCAAAAAGTTTATTATTATAGAAGGAACATAAGATCACATTGATTCAGCTTGCTTATAAATAGTCTCATCAGTGTTTAAGACAGAGTCGACTTTAAAGTGTCGCAACGCCTTGGGCTTGATTTGACCGCTTTTCTGTAGCCCTTTACATTTATATTTTAGCGCCTTAAATCACTTGTTTTTAGCTTTGGTTTTTAAGAAGTAATTGGCAAAATTTTAATCGATTTTTGCTTGAGAGCTTTAAATCACATTGAAGCAAATAGAACTAATTTTAAACATGTAGAGAGGGGGTGGGGAAGTAATAAAGAAGGAATAAGTATAAAGGGTGAAAACTGATAAAAATGAGATTTTGCTGATATTAGATCTTATTAAGATGTTATGAAAAAAACTTGAATCAAGAGAAATTATGTTTGGTCCAATTACACATCCCCTCTCTTATCCCCCTCTACCTATCTATTATCTATATATCTTTTTATACTTCCATCTATCTTTATATACTTCTATCTATCTATCTATCTATCCATCTATCTATCTATCTGAGTTGGTGAAGAGAGGAAAATTCATCCATCTGCTCTTTTCACACGCTACTACGGACTCCAGGGGCGTAAACTCGTGTAGGAGGGAATAAGTACACACTAAACTAGGGGGTAGTAGGGGCCCAAAAAACAAAACAAGAGGGAAGAAGGGCCCAAAAAACAAAACAAGGGGTAGTAGGGGCGCAAACACTAAACTAGGGGGTAGGAGGATCAAGCAAACACTAAACTAGGGGGTAGTAGGATCAAGCAAACACTAAACTAGGGGATAGGAGGATCAAGCAAACACTAAACTAGGAGGGGGTTTTAGGGGCGCATACACTAAACCAGGGGGTTCAGTAGGGGCACACACACTAAACTAGGGGAGGTGGTAGGGCGAAAACACAAAACCAGGGGGTATTAGGGGTGTACACACACTATCCAGGGGGTAGTAGAGGCGCACACACTAAATTAGTGGGGGGGTGGGATATAAATTCACTGTCTTATTATAGTTAGCCAGGTCAGGGACACTAGCTGCAAATTAAACTTAGTTAAGAACATAAGTAACTGAACACTCGCTACAAACTAGGATTTTAAATTCCCCAAATCCTTGCAACCTGAATCTATAATCTTTGATATTTCAAACTTTGAAATATTTTATCTATTAGAATAAAGAGTTTGAAATGTCTTCGACATCTAGATTAAGATATAGGGTTCTGTTTTTTTTTTATTTTGGTTTTAAGGAACTAAAACTAAATCCAATTTCATAGATTTAATTCACATTCTTCATAGATTTTAAAGTTTTATATTGTTTATGTAAGCTTGCGCCCTTTTTATTTATTTTTTATATCTAAAGTGAAAGTGCATTTTTGAATATTTGTTGTAAAGTTTAAAGAGTAATGGAGGATTTAAAGTTTCTAGATTCTTCTTTAAACCTAGATTTAAAGGAACCGCTAAGCCCTGGACTCAAAACTACTTGTTTCCAGTTCATTGCTTTGTTCTTTTGTTATGTAAAGTTGGGAGCATGTGCCCATTCTATATCTAGCTTTCAAACTTTCATTCATTTCTAAATTCAAACATTTTTTCTTCTTTTTTTATCAGGGATCATACATTCCTAAATATTAAAGCTTGATATCACATTTTTGGTTTTAAATCAAAAGAAATCGTTTAGTTTAATCTTGAATTTGGATGGTTTATTTTGGCTGTAGATCTATTAGTATCTAGTAATGATGTTGACTTTTTTGTCTAATATTTTCTCAATTTCTTTAAGCTCTCTAATGATCGGCTTAATGACTTAACCAGTGCAATGGATCTCAGGCTTTCATGCTTTCAAAACTATTCATCCTGACATTAAGAATATTCATTTAGGCATAAAAATATCTATCCATCCATTATTCCATAAATGAATATAAAATTATCTAAAACAAATATTTAGTGTTTTATTCGTCTTATTAAACGTCTCTTCTAATTTTAGGTCATCTCTATATCGTTCAAAAGAGCAACGACTAACGCGCGACGCAATGAAGAAATATCTTCGTGAGCGAGGAGATATGGTTGTTGTCATGCTGCACGCAAAGGTCAGTTTTGTAAATTTTATAATTAATTTTTATCATCTTTCATGGTTCACCGAAAACTATGATGTTATTTAATACCAGCTTGGGAACCCAGCTTTGCCATGACATTAATGTTTCTCATAAAACGTCAACCCACTCAACATCAAACAGAAAATTACCACTTAATATAAATATAGATTGTGTCTTAAAGGTTGCTCAAAAATCTTATGGAAATGAAAAGAGATTCTTCTGCCCTCCTCCTTGTATATATCTGTATGGTGATGGCTGGAGGAGGAAGAAAGAGGAGATGCAGCGTTCAGGTAAACAAGTATAAATAGTTTAAAAATAATAATTTGAATTATAAGGTTGATTTTGATTCATTGGTATATAATTCATTGATAATGATTCACTGATATATTCATTCATTGACTCATTGATTCATTGATTTAGTGATTCAGTGATTCATTCATTCATTCATTCATTAATTGATGAATTGACGAATTGATTCACTGATTCACTGATTCAGTGATTCATTTATTGATTTATGGATTCATTGATTCATTGATTTGTTGATTCATTGATTCATCGATTTGTTGATTCATTGATTCGTTGATTTATTGACTTGTTGATTCATTGATAAATATTATTCAGGTGAATCTGAGCAGGGAAGTCAGCTATGTGCATTTATTGGTATCGGTAACTCTGACCAAGATATGCAGCAACTAGACCTCAATGGAAAGGTAACATTATAAATAACTAGCTTGGGAATTCAGCGCTGCCAAGGTTACTAAAAGTTACTGACGCCGTTTACCTGCACTTGAACGATTTTACCGCAAAACAAAATTCGCTTTTAAAGTCGACCCCACTCAACTTAGAATTTCACAACCAAGCTAAGGCCATTCCTGTTGGTCTCCCGAGTTCCCCAATCAAAATTTGAGGCAAATCGATCCAGGGGTTCCTGAGTTATGCTCAGACAAACAAACAGAGATTTCAACCTCTATAGATTATTTACAGCCCTGAAAATAAATGAGATAATTTCTTAGAAAAGTAAGATATTTATGGTTAAAGTTTTAAAACTTTTAAACTCAGTTTGGAGACTTCAGACTTGAACAAAGTAATGTTTAGCACTATTGCGCCGCCAAGACCTTGTTCATCTCCGACAGCGACAAGCGGAAGCATTTCCTCCTCTCCCTCAAGATGTTCTACGGAAACGGAACAGATATCGGAGTCTTTCATTCCAAGCGTATAAAAGTGATCTCAAAACCCTCAAAAAAGAAACAGAGTCTCAAAAACGCAGATTGTAAGTGTGATTCTTTATACATTATATTTAAAATTAGTATTTTTTTGTAACCGCATCGGATCATGGATTTTTTTTCAGTGTGTATAGCAAGCGGTACAAAAGTGGCGCTATTCAACCGACTGCGGTCACAAACAGTGTCTACGCGGTACCTCCACGTGGAGAATGGTAACTTTCACGCATCCTCTGTACAGTGGGGAGCATTCACAATTCATCTACGTACGTATTTCGAAATAAAACAAAAATAAAACTAAACTTTGTTTATGAAATAATATTTTTAATTTAAATTTTTTTATTTTAGTTGATGACAATGAATCTGAATCTGAGGAGTTTACAGTCCGTGATGGATATATTCATTACGGATCATCAGTGAAACTTGTCTGCTCAATCACAGGGATGGCGCTACCTAGGCTTATTATCAGAAAGGTAAATATTCTGTTCGCAATAAAAATTAAATTATGTAAATGCTTATAATAATAAAAAAAAAAAAATAAAAAATAACGATTAGAAAAGTAAATTGTATTTTGAAATTTTTGTTTGCTGAGAGAATCTGTCTTGTTTAGGTGGACAGGCAACTGGCCCACTTTAATACTAATATTAACCCTAATATCCTTGTTTAGGTGGACAAACAGATGGCCCACTTTAATACCTAATATCCTTGTTTAGGTGGACAGGCAACTGGCCCACTTTAATACTAATATTAATCCTAATATCCTTGTTTAGGTGGACAGGCAACTGGCCCACTTTAATACTAATATTAACCCTAATATCCTTGTTTAGGTGGACAAACAGATGGCCCACTTTAATACTAATATTAACCCTAATATCCTTGTTTAGGTGGACAAACAGATGGCCCACTTTAATACTAATATTAACCCTAATATCCTCGTTTAGGTGGACAAGCAACTGGCCCACTTTAATACTAATATTAACCCTAATATCCTTGTTTAGGTGGACAAACAGATGGCCCACTTTAATACTAATATTAACCCTAATATCCTTGTTTAGGTGGACAAACAGATGGCCCACCTTGATGCAGATGATCCTGTCTCACAACTTCACAAATGTGCTTTCTACATGAAGGTAAATATATTCAATATTTTGACTTACTCTTGAATTGGCAAACTACCTGTCATTTAAATATTTTTAACATTTTCGTTGTGCAAAAATAACATTTGGAGCTTAAATTTACAAATCTTACTAGGAACTTTTTAAAGACCAAAAAAATGATTTTCAAGAAATATGCGTATTTTTCAATATTATAACTTCTATTTTAATTATTTGTTTTAGGATACCGACCGTATGTACCTATGTCTTTCACAAGAGAGAATTATTCAATTCCAGGTAAAAAAACCTTTTTTGCAAAAATGTTCCTAAATAAACAGAAAATATGTGAAAACTGGAATTAAAAATCTTTTTTTTCAGTTCGACTTTAACCAAACTGTATATTATTATTTATCTTATTATTCATAAATCTAGGCAACACCGTGTCCAAAAGAGCCCAACAAGGAGATGCTAAATGATGGAGCTAACTGGACAATTATTTCAACGGATAAGGTAAATATTTAAATCATTGTTTAAGATTTTAAGCTTTTTTATTATTTTTTTGTCCGCTTTGTCCTTAGTTAAAGTCTTTTCATAAAAAAATCAAATGATGATTGAAAAATGAATTAGACCGTTAGAAAATATATTCAAATAAAAATTGTATTCTCAGCATCGACTAGTTATTTCAATTATCTATACTGGTGAATTTCTTCCTTGTTAAAGAAGACGATATTTACTGTCAAGTTGATAAATTTGTTAAATGTACAGGTTGAATACCAGTTCTACGAGGGTATGGGCCCTGTTAGGAATCCTGTCACCCCTGTCCCCGTGGTGCACTCCCTCCACCTCAACGGCGGGGGAGACGTTGCTATGTTGGAGCTGACCGGGGAATGCTTCACACCGAACCTCAGGGTCTGGTTCGGAGATGTTGAGAGCGAGACAATGTACAGGTAAGAGATGAGTTTCATTTATTTTACTTTCCCTAAGCCAGAAATCATTTGATCATTAAAATTATTATGCTTTTTCCTGTCATATTTAAGGTACCATACTTTTAGATTATGAAATTAAGTTATGTAGAATAGGTAAATAACATAAAACTACCAGAGGAAGAGATTCTTTTACTCAAAAAAAAGAAAAAAAAATATCTATTCGTATGTTATCAATTCAATTTGAGTTAGAAACTTTTGATGACTGTTCATTCAAAAGTTACCATCTCAGTCTAGATCAAATCTCCTGATATGTTTAGATGTCAAGAGAGTATGCTCTGCGTGGTTCCTGATATTTCTCAATTCCGAGGTGGCTGGCAGTGGGTTAGACAACCGACACAGGTACCATTATATTTATATTTATTTATTATTTATATTTATAGTGTGACATATCCTATTCACAACGGTACCCTTTAAAGATTTGTCATACCAAGAATTTATGATGTATTATCCTTGTTTTTCTCTTAGAAAATTATTTATTTTGATCGTAATTTGATTGTCTGAATAATAATATGAATATTTAGGTTCCTGTAAGTTTAGTAAGGAATGACGGTATAATCTATGCAACCGGGCTCACATTCACATATACACCAGAACCAGGACCTAGGTAAGCTGCTTACATTCACATATACACCAGAACCAGGACCTAGGTAAGCAGCTCACATTAACATATACACCAGAACCAGGACCTAGGTAAGCTGCTTACATTCACATTTACACCAGAACCAGGACCTAGGTAAGCTGCTCACATTCACATATACACCAGAACCAGGACCTAGGTAAACTGCTCACATTCACATATACACCAGAACCTGGACCAATGTAAGCTGCTCACATTCACATATACATCAGAACCAGGACCGGTAAGCTGCTCACATTCACATTTACACCAGAACCAGGACCTAGGTAAGCTGCGACCTCCCCTCCCTATAATTCATTACCATACCATTAATTAAAAGGGGGATCTAAGAAAAATGATTATTAAGTGACGACATCAAAGTTGTTTTCGTTCTTGTATAATTGAGAAACTTGTCTGTTAAATAGAAGAAGAAATAACGAGCAGAGTTCATTTAAGAAATCTCAGGATTAAGATTTTTACTGACTTCGATTCACAATCACGAATGGCGCGTTAATTGAAAATATATTTCACCATATTTCCATGTGATAACAGGTTGTTGGTTTCTAGGATTTAATTGCATAAAAAAGTGGGCTATTAACCTTTTTATAATGAATATCTAACAGATTATTCTACTTTCTGAAAATTATGTTAAACTTGTTAAACTTTAAAAAAAACTAATTAATTTGATGTATTTTCAGATCCCACTGCACATCAGCTGATGATATCATGAGACAAGGACAGAATGTAGATTATAATCCAGCTTCTCAAGTACTCATGTAGATCCTATATACTCAAACAACCAGCTCAAATTCTTCACAACAAAGACGACATCTTGAATATTCTCTGTTTCCCGACATCATCGTCGTCTTCTCAAACTCTGAATTAAGCTCAAATTTGTTGATTATGCAAAAAGTGACTCAGAAGCAACTTGGACGATTCAATCGCCGATAAGTGATTCCCCCGCCGCCGCTCTGTGAACAGATGAAAATTTTGAATTGACATAAATTGGCGGATTTTTTGCTCGTGATATATTTTCTATCAAGCCTCACTTAACCTCTCTTACGCACTTTTAAAAGGCATTTCAGGGTACAAATATTATTCAAAGCTGTAAAAACTACATATCTTCTTTTCCAAAAATTGCCTTTATTCGAAATTATGCATTTTTTATTAGTTAAAATACCTGTTTAAGAAAACTTAAAAACATGTACAAACTTTATCGAAATAAATTAATTATACTAATTTAAATAAAAATAAATATGTATTTTTGAACCGTGTTTACTTTTAGAAACATTAGATGCCCATGTTAAAATCATCCAAGGACACACAACTCAAATATAAGGTTTTTTGAGGCTCCTCAACTCGGACACAGTAGTCTCCAATAATCAGATTTATTTCAAAACTAGAATAAATTATAGGTGTTAAATATGAATAACAATTGTTAAATATAGTTAAAATTAAATAGCTTATCAGATTTTATATTAAACATGGATGGTAATATTCTAATGTAGTTAAATGTTTGATAAAATAGCCTACTATTATTTCGTGTCGGAGTGAAAAGGATTGGTTGAGGGTTTGGTGGTGTAGTTGTTCATCTGATCTATGCGATGCATCCGACCTACAATTAAGGTCTGCATCCAACCTATAGTTGCAACGGGAGAATGAAGAACCTTATGGTAGCACTGCAGTCAACTATACATACTGTCAAGCTCTGCAGTTCAGTGCTTTGGTCGCGACAAACAAAATAGAATGTACAGCTGTTGTAGGTCCGATGTTGCAGTAGGTCCGAAGTAACATCACCGGTTAATTTATGAATCAGATGACATGAGTTAAAGCAAGGTATCGCAAGGTGGGGGGGGGGGGGTGCAGAAGTCCTCAATTGGTAATCACCGCCACCCAATTCGTGTTTTGCGGCATGCGCGCTCTTCAATTGGTAATTAGACAAAAAAAGGGTAAAATTAATCAATGATAAATAATTAGTGAACTAAATACTTCATTTTCACTAGTGGCCGCCATGATACTGATATTTCGAAATTTTTGTGTTCTTTCTATTCATGTCAGTAGTTTTTTTTGTAGACTTCCATTGCGAAGTCCATTTATTTCATCTTTTAGGTGTTGAGGACCTTGCAGGGATCTAAAAATGGTTGCATGGCTCAAATTTGGTCGTGTTGCTGGGATCATTTCGATTAATTTAAACACTCGATTCATTAACGGTTACACATTAAACAAATCCGGGCTGAAAACCCACCTCTCAGTCAGGACTTGAAACTCCAAGCTGTAGAGTGGAGCCTAAAGCTTTCCCTAACACTCATGATTTGATTTGATTTGATTTGATTTGATTTGATTTGATTTGCAGGGACATTAAACGTAGTTTTTTACGTCCAATTGCGACTTTATTCAGATTTTAGGTAAAAAGACATCTAGTGGTAAAACTTGGAAGGTCCTAATCCGACTTAGGGCACTGGTCTGGTTGTGACCAGTTAAGAACAGTTCGGTAATCCAACCATGCAAGACCTAATCTGACTTAAAGGGAGTTGTCGCGAAAAATGAAAGGGGGTATAGGCTTAATGCGATAAAAAAACGCTTTTGATCACTACTAATCTTACTTCTAGCTGTTGTCTAGCTGTCTCCATACAAATCAGAAAAGTAACCAATTGAAAGTAGCATAATCATAAACCTTCAGTTGTTTTATTCTGTGCTGAAAATATCAATTTTGCTAATTTTCTTGAAATTATCATGTTTGAATAAAAATTTACGTTTTTCGCAATACTCTCGGTTTTGCGCAAATTAAGAGAAAAAAACTGCGCAAAAACACGCAAAAGATATACAAAAGTTCGCGAAAAAAAAATTTGTGAGAAAATTACGCAAACTTTGCGCAAAAAAATGTGGTCATTTCGTGGAAACCTTAGATCTACCGTATTTGAGTCTGAAAATTACAAAAATATTGCAATGTTTTAACATTTGTATATTTAAAACCAACCATGCTAACCACTTTTTTGGAATTCCAGGAGTTTTCTTTTTTTTGTTACCTGAACATCGCCAAATCATGTACTTACTTCTTAATTAAAAGTTTAATCATTTTACGGCTTCTAAAATGATAGGTGTGTGAAGAAATTTACCAGGGGGTGGGGCAGCCGAACCCCTCTGCACCCAAGAGGAAAATATACCAAGCAAATTAGCCAAGACCTCTCTATCTAATATAAGTTGCAACCAAACTAATCAATTTGATATAAATATATTTTCACGAAATAATTACAAAATAAAACATGGAAAATGAAATACCCCCTTCCTTAAATTTTTAAAATACGAAATATGAACATGATATTAATATTTGGACAACACAATCTTCGTTATTCATCATACTCTTCGGAGTCACTTGTCTCTTCGCCTAAAAATAAAACAAATTTCTGTGTTATAAATTGGTAATTTTCAATTATGGTTCTTCTATGAAAGTGACTTGCCAATTTCTTTCTACAGAAACAATTGAACTATTTTCAAGGTAGAAAAACGACGAAATCTTAAACATCATTGACCAGATAAAGTTTGGAAAGGTATTGTGTGAATCGGGCATGAAGTTGCATAACAACGAAATTGCTTAATGTGAAAAGAAATTGGTCATAATCCTGACCAATTCCCTTCTTATATATGACTCTGTAGATTAGTTACGATCGAATCAAAATTTGTATCGAATTCAGTATATATCGCCCTTTCACTTTTGGCGAACACTCACTACTGAAATATTAGGTCTTTTAGATTTTCGGTTTTGTAGAAATTAGTAAAAACCCAACAGGAGCATTTACTAAACGAATTACCAAATCTGTTTATCATGATTATTAGATAATTAACAGATGTTTTGAAAACTCTACCTCTAAATCTTACTATGGGAGAAACTTAAATGGTCTTTTTGCATATATTTATTTATGCGCATAGAGCTAAATAACCTACAAACGAAGCCAAATTTTGGCCTTCCATTTATTTTTCTTGGATGTACACATTAGATTTAGTTCTCAATGTAAATAAACCATCTAAAAGACCTAATATTTGAGCAGTGCACTCCCTATAAAATGTTGCACCTGTGTTCTTATTCTTAAACCAGTCCTTACACGGTCCTTCTACTTTAGACGGTCTAGGAATAGAGAAAATAAATAGAAATAAAAATATTTTAAATCTTAAAATTTTAATGAAAGATGAAATCTACGATACTGAATACTTTCCACAACCTAATAATGTAACCCTTTGACATTTTAAACTTTAACAATTTGATCTCTCAAAATGAATAGTTTGAAATATCATAGGTCTACATCAGGTTGCAAAGATATAAGGAACAAATTATTAGAGTTTGCGATAAGTTGTTTTAGTTGATATGTAAATATTTAAATGTGGAAATTTTGCAAAAACTAGGATTTTTTTAAAATTCAATATTCTGATAGATTTTTTTTTAAAGAGTTCTTATTTTTTTTTGAAATTCAGAATGTTTAAAGGGTATTTTCGTAAAATTCATGACTAAACATTAACTAAATAAAATTTTGTAAAATTAAAATACATTTTTGCCAGGTATCATTAAACAATAAAAATGAAAATGGAAAATAACTCATGATTGTTAAAATTTACCTCTCGCATGTGAATGTTTCAGGATCAAATACTTTTCCCTTTTCACAACCACTGGGTCGGGTTATTCCACCAATACACAGGAAGAAGGATTCACAGTCTTAAAAATAAACAAGGTTTTTTCTTACAAAAAATATTGACAACTTCAGATAAGATTTTTCACAAATAGGATATTTCATACACGAAGAAAAAGAATTGTTGACATTTTTTTCATTGCAAAATTTTTAATTTTTTACGTTTATTGGATACAAACAAACAAGCAAGCTAAAAATATATATACATGGTTAACAACAAAGGATAAGCCTGTAAAGACGACTTGAAACTCATTAGATATGACGATCCCGAGGTTAATACCTTGAATATGGTCTTTTAATGGTTAATTTAATGATTTGGTTAAGAAAGAAACAACTTTAAAGTTGCGTGGAATCTTGAATATAAATATATATAAATTCCGTACAGTCGTCTCTGAAGTTTTTAGGGTAACCCTGTATATATGCATCTGTTAGAGGGACTGTAACCATTATTTCAAGTGACTCTCAATGCAAAGATGGCAATGTCCGATTAATAACGGTACCCTTAAAACAGATGAGTGTTCATCAACAAGTACAGAGATATGTGTGTGTATTCCGCTGAAAAAAAACCGGTTTGCACTGAGTTTTGTTCTGGGTGTAGTGTAGGTTGGGAACACAAGAATGTTCATCTAAATACAAGGGGGTTTGCCATATCTCTATAGCTCGACAAACACACAAAGGTTTTAAAGGGTATCGTTGTATATCAGGCATTGCCCTCTTTTCATGGAGGGTCTTTTAAAAATTACGCTTACAGTCCCTTTAAATGTGGCAACCCCTACCATCAGGATTAGCATATCTGGTGTACTCATGAGGGGAGCCACCCTTGTCAGGGCAACCACTCTTTGCCTTGTCCTTTGCCTCACATCCAACTCTACAAATATATCGTGTTAAAAGTAGGTATGTATCGTTTTGGAAAACAATCGAAATAACGATCGTTTTTCGTTTCGTTCTGGGTTTTAGGAAAAACGTGTTAGAACTAACTAACTGTTCTGAAGAGATGTTTGTGAATATTGTAGAAGATTTGTTTGCTTTTGTGAATTTGCCCAATGTTAGAAATGATTACTCAATCTTAGAAAGTTTTCATACGTTGATTTATATACTTTTGAAAATGATTTTCTTTTCTTCTTTGAATTTAACGATCGTTTTCTCTTTTGAAAGAAAAACTATACAGTCGTTCTAAAATGATAGTTTTTCATTTTTAGAAACTACCTCCAGTTAGTTTTTTCATTTATTTTTCACGTTTAACGAAACGATCAAAGTCGTTTTCACAATTATTGAAATTACGTTTTTAGTTAACCGTTACCGTTTAACCGTTTCTTTGATCTGTATACTTTCTTGTTTTTTATATTTCATTCTTTTTGTTTTTGTTCACCTCTTCACAGCATCCTTCCAACCACAGCTGCCCAGGCTAGGATCAAATACAAGTCCACTGAATTCAAAATTATTTATTAAAATTTAACAATTTTATTTATTTTTTTAATTAGATTGTCAAGCACTGGAGAATGCGTAAAATACAATTGTAAATTTACGTCACTGCACTGGTGACATTATAATAAACTGTGCCAGACCTAATATTCTAAATGGTGATAAATTTAGACTAAAGAGAGCTTAAATACTTTGAAATTGTTTAGTTTTATTTCTTTATTTTCATATAAACAGTCTTAAGAAACAATTTCCTAAATTATTTAAAGAGTTGATGAAAAAAAGAAAATTGGTTTAAATAGGGATGGGATGGCAGCCGGAAACTCTCTGGATTTTTGAGGGATCCTTAGGCTTTGGATTTTAATAATATGAAATTGAGCTTTAGAGGGAAGTCATTAAAAATTGGGTTTAGATGCAAAAAAAAGCTCTTTTAAATAATTTTTAATGTATTAGTTTAAATTATTAAAGTTTTAAATAATTTTAGCAAACTGTTAGTTTAATGGGTCCTACTGCAATAGGGAGGGAAAGCAACCTCGCGGCTTCAGGAAATGATTTTTAATCATCAATTTCTACTTTAAACGGGATTAATTCGATTATTTAAGCAGGGTAGTCCATCTATAGTATCCTTAACATTTGCAACTTGCAACTTCTACATCTTTGCAGACGAAAAATCGAAGTTTTTGTTTTATTTTACCAACAAAGAAAAGGCAATTTTGGCATCGCTCTAATTAAAGAAAATGTAATAATCTTTCGACCAATATGTAGATATTTCAAATCTGTAGCGCTTGTAAAAAAGGCGGCAATAGTTTTAAAATCATAAGGTTAAAAAAGAGTTTTGTTTTCTTTAAATATCTTAATAACTTAAATTTATAAAGGGCGATGTTTTTTAGAAGCAACATTTTATGAAGAATATTTTTTATTTTTCTACATATTAGTAAAAACTATTCATAAAAAGGCGGCAGCCAATCCAAGATTTGTTGAGAAAAAAATCTTTAAATAAAAGCTATTTTCTCCCCTTATCACATTTTAAAAGCCCTAAATGTACCATTTAAAAAAGTAGTTATGCCCGGAAGAGTAAAATGTGGTGGTACGGAAGAGGAAATAGTGGTGGCTCATTGCAGCCGGAAGAGAAAAAAGCTAATATGTGGCCCGGAAGAGGAAATAGTGGTGGCTCATTGCAGCCGGAAGAGTAAAAAGCTAATATGTGGACAGGAAGAGGAAATAGTGGTGGCTCATGGCCGCTTGCCTTCCCCCGCTAATGGGGACGCGGAGGTAAAATGAGGTTCGGAAACTGTGTGGGGGAGGTTGACTTAAAAAGAAGCAACTCTCTAAGTATATTTAAAAATAGACTACTAAATTCTCTTTTTGAAAATTATAGGACAATGTGTGATAAACCGAATTGCTATTCATGTAAAACTAATTAGATATGTTTTAATATGCTTTGATATTTGTTGTGTACATGTCTGAAAATTACTTTAAACTCTAGTTATTCGAATTAATGTATAAACTATTTTGCATATGATAAATTCGCACCCTGATCTCTAATCGTTCTCCTTAAATCTATTTAATTGAAATATTTTGTTATTATTACTAACATTAGGTGGAAAAAATAATCAAAACAGCCAAGAGCTATTTTCCACCTAATTGCTTTATTCTGTTAATATAATCATCAATTTGTGATTGTAAACTCTATCTGTATACAGATACACTTATTTTTGCAATAAACTTTATCTTATCTTATCTTATCCTTCTTCACTGCAAACAAGGTTGTACCTGGAGCAGGTGAGAGGGTTGGCCTTCCCTTCGGTACAGAAGAAGAAGGAATCACAGACTGCAGGGTCAGGGTCAGGGTAGTACCCGTTCTGTCTGAAATAATAAAGTTTAGAATTTAATCGTTCTTTTTTTTTGATCACATTTACTCTAATTAAGTTTTCGACCAATTGCGTAAAATAAAAGTAATGTTTTCACAATTAAAGAATTTCGTATTTTACAAGCCTCGAAGCTTAGTCTAGTACAAGACATGTAAATTGTAAAAGGAAAATGGAATAAAATTAGAAGCGATAATTTCCCAAAGCAAGAGCGTGGCCAACGATTTTTTTTGGAATGGGGGGGGGTAATTGACGGTGCGGAGAAAATATTATTTAGAACTTCCCCTTCTAGTGCAGTGTTAGCCCCCCCCCCCTCCCTTTTTAAAGATAGTGTCTCCTTATGATGTAATAAAGTTGTGGGTTTTACCTGCTTTTGGTATTTAATTACTCTACATGTTGTTTTTTATACCACTTTTAGGCATTACTTTTCATATAAATTAATAGAAATATTTCTGTTGAGAAAAAAACTGAAATTTATGATGGTAATTTTTTTTTTTAAAAGCTTCTTTCATGAGGAAAATTTATGGTTAAAAAATGCATTGAAATATTTAATTATAAATTTAGAATATATCAGATTTTTTAAAGTGGTACACAAAGCTGATAGCTCTTTTTTTTGCTATTTTGAAATTAAACAAATAGCGCTTTTATAAGCGTTGTTTAACACAAGTGTACAAGGATTACAATAATATTTTACATCTATTTTTCTTACCTAGGACAGTTTTCAGAAGGGATTGGCTCCTGTTGCTCAGGTCTGTCCTTGCAGTCATTCCTGGGATAATGTAAATACAGTGAGAACTAGAAAACTGTGGAACACTGCACCATTGCTGAGTCTCATTGGACTAATAAATTGAGGATTAAAATCTTCTTCCTTATCCAGAGCGTTCTGGTTCTCATTTTAGTAACTTGTTAAATCACTTATTAAGTGAAATGGGTATGTACAGTGTACGCACTTCACTATTGACGTGTCTCATGTACTTGACTATTTAATTTAAGTCTGAATGTCGCCTTCCTATTTCAGAGTTTTCTGGTACTCACTGAAGATTCATGTATTGCATAAAAACTATTGAAAAGTGGAATGAAAGTCGTCTTCTTAACGTCATTTTATAGAAGTTTTGGTAATTTGTTATAGTCGTCACTATTATTTTCTTTATTTCTAATTAAAATCTGAAATGAAGGAAATTTTCATTCCACTTCTCAGTGGGTATGACTGTATGCAAGTAGTTCTGGGCAAATTATAAACATGCATTATCAAGCTAAAAAATATTAATTCTCAGAAAAAATTCAAATACATCATAAAATGAAATTGTAACCTAAAAGTCCACCAAATTGTTGCATGAAAGAACTAAATCCAGAAAATTCAATTTTTAGTAATAATATTAACTAAGAGTTGACTTTTCTAAGTTTGTCTAATTAAATACTCCTCTCAGAAGAAGATAGACTACATTTAGGAAAGGTCATAAGATGGACAACATTTTTTAAACAGTTTCTCGTGTTTATTGGAACACCCTGTACTATATAATATTTGAAACTTACCCGGCCGGGAGTTTACAGATAGCAAACTTTTTACTCGATTCATCGAATACAAGCCCGTCAGCGCACAGCTTTTCTGTTGCCTAAAAATCATCAAATTTGATTTTTTGAATTCTTTTCAGAACAGCGGTTGGAACTTTTTGTTTAAGATAGCGCTAATCTACAACGCTTTGCTTAATCTGCGAAATACAGCTGACTCGTATTGGCCGAGTTTAGATTTTGGAGGCTTCTTATTGGTCGATTTAGCCGACTAAAATTTTATCAGAGATATCTTAATGGATAAATGTATATCCAAAATATATTTTACGGATATCTCTACTGGGTTCAGTTCCGACCAAGGAAAGTTTTTTCATCGGTTCCTCACAAATATCCCAGCTTCTGATTTGCCGTTCTGTTTTTGTAAACGACACTCTGATTGGTTAAATTTTAGACGCTTGCCTCTAATGATTAGATTTATCTGCAGATTAACATAAAGCGGGGATCAATTACTATGATCTCAATATCCACAATACTGCTCTAATTAATTTTTGCCAGTTAAAAAATGATTAGGCAATTTAAAGTTTAGGTTAAAAATGAGGTCCCAAGTTTAGTTGTGTGTGTATTTTCTTTCTGATGCCGTTTAAACAAAAAGCAAACTTGCCTATTACTTCTTCCCGATTTCTTTCATATTAAACTGCGATAAAGCAAAAAGTGAAGAAGAAATTTTTTTATTTACCACTCCATCCACACATTCATAATATTTATCGCACTGCAGTGTGTCTGCAAAAAAACCATCCTCCTCAGGGCACTCCAGAATATAATCGTATTCCTAAACAACAATATTTTAATGAAAATTTCGTAATCATTGTATTTTTCCTGTAATAAATTGTTTACTGTGATCAAATCTTCTTTTTATAAAATTAAGTACCAATTTAAAAATCTTTTTACAAATTGTAGAACAGATTAAGTTTCAGGTGTCTGCCCACAGTATTTCAAATATTGAAGACGACCTTCAAGTTGGCTTTCTGTAATTTTTAGAGGAGTGGGACACTAACCTGGCTAGCAGCTATCTGAGCTCCCTGTCCCTCACCCAGCCCTGATCCAACCCTCTGCCCCGTCTCCTGACCATAAACTACTCCGCCCACAACTAGAACCATCAGGTTCAACAACATCTTCATCTGTATTAATTAAAGGGACTGTCAGCAAAATATTAAGCTGGGTCATTTATGTTGTAAAATCAGAAAAAGATTAAGTGGAGATTAAAGATTGATACAGAGTTACCCACAAAGAGTGAAATTTTAAAGACGACCAGAAACTCTTTGAATATGACGATCCCAAGTTTAAATAAATTGTTCTGTCTGAGAAATAGTAATCTAATTGGTTTTTAATGATTTGACAAAGAAAGAAACAAGTTGAAGTTGCATGGAATCATGAGTGTAGGGATGCAGACTGTCTACATTACGTGCAATCGTCTCTGAAGTTTCATCCTTTGTGAATAACCCTGTATGTTCACTGTCCAGTGTTCAGCCACAGCTTTTCTAGCAGCAGATTGGAGCAATAATGGATAGTTTCAAAATTAAAAAATGGAAAACTTAGATTGAAACTTATAATGAAGAAAAAGCATTTTCACAAGATAAAAAATATTGTTTTTTTTTCTTTTGTCTATTGTCTTATGTCTATTGTATGCATATGTCTTATGTCTAAATTGTCTTATGTCTATTGTCTTATATCTATTGTCTTATATCTATTGTCTTATGTCTATGTCTTATGTCTATTGTCTTATGTCTATTGTATGTCTTTGTCTTATGTCTATTGTCTTATGTCTATTGTCTTATGTCTATTGTCTTATATCTATTGTCTTATGTCTATTGTCTTATGTCTATTGTCTTATGTCTATTGTATTATGTCTATTGTTATAAGTTTACTGGTCAAATTTTTGAATTGAAAACTTTCTCCATTGTATCTGAAAGTTGAACTATTACTGCCTGAAATCTGCCTAAATCTCAGAACCAGAAGTCGGGCATTGGCATAGGTTGAGGTCAGTGTAAGGAGGAGGGGGATGGTGGGAGGGGTGTTGAAGCAGGTGGGGGTGGTAAGGAAGGGGGGATGTAAGGATAAAAACTACTTCCACCCTTCATTTAAAATCCAAAATTTTTAATGTTATTTTTTTAAGATTAAAATTAGAGATTCCAGATTTAAGAAATGAAAGTTTTCTCCCCCCTTTTTTACATTTACCCATGAAGGTTATAGAAAGAGAGAATAATAAAACCTGAATAAAATAACAAGTTATGCACTGATTACAGGGTGTCCCACTATTCATGAGAATTAAAAAAAACTTATTCAAAACTTATTCAAGACTTATTTCCATGAAAGCGTACATAGTCTGGTTCACACTAGTCAAATGGGTTTTAAGATAAATTTAATTGTACAAAAAACCTAACCTTCCAGGGTTCTCTCAGGACCCAGGTCAGGTACCTTAGGTAACAGATTCATGAAGAGAACGAATTATTTGGTGTAAAGCCTTAAAAAATAATTGAGTTCATGGTTTTGCCTTCTTATACATGATACTCATAAAATAATTCCGTTATCCCGTTTTGTTATCAATTGATTATAAAATCACCAGTTAAAGGTCTAAACTGAAGAAATAAAACATAAGGTCGGATTCTGCAGTAAGGCTCGTATGATTTGCACTCTTGCAGTATTGTTATAGCTTGTATATTTCACTCAATAATTGGCACAACGTACCTGAAAAAGCATGATTTTTGATCATTTTTCATCGTTTTATGCTCAAGATAATATTCTACCATTTTTCGAGCTTTGAAGAAAAACACTGTTTGTGTGCCAATGACATGCAGAATCCGACCTTACAGTTTATTTGTTCAGTTTAGACCTTTTAATGATGTTTTTAAGAGCAATTGTTAGAAAAATAGGAATACGAAATTATTAGATGAGAATTACAGTAATACAGGGGGAAAACTCAGATACTCAACTATCTTTTTAGGATGTACACCAAATATTTCGTTCCCTTCGTAAATATTTTACCTAAGGTACCCAGAAGAGCCCTGAAAGGTTAAATTTTTTGTACAATTGAATTTATCTTAAAACCCTAGATTTGACTAGTGAATTCATAGTTAAATTCCTTTTTAAATATTCAAAGTTTAGACTGTTTAGCAGTTTTTTTCTAAGTGTAATTAATAACTCACATTTCTAAAACACATTTAACGCCAAAAAAACCTAAATGTGTCTAAACAGACCTCAAAACCTCATAATGCCTTGCATAACGCCAGTGGAGAAAGTTGTTTCTTGCCATAAAAAAAGATTTTTAATAATTTTGGAAATTCCCATACAAATTTATAATTTATAATATTTATTAAAAAATGTTAGAGCAAACAGGTTGGTGCCATATTTTTATTTATCCATGGTTGGTGCTTTAACAACACTCTCCTGTCCACATATTCCAAGATGTTCACAAACTTAGCAATGTTGGCCTCAAATAAGACAGGGTACATGGCAAAAGCAATTCCTTGAAACCAAGTTCGTACTGCAGCCACACATTTAACAGGATCGTCCAGAAGAGAGCAGACATCAACAACTAGAGTTTCAACCTGCTTCTCAGTACTCCGGAGGTAACGCACTAAAACGCCTGCAAAAGGGTGCCAATCTTCACAAGAGACTTCAGCACTGGCTGAAAGGACAGTGCAGGCAAGGGCAACAAGGATAAGAATCATCATGTTGAGAAGTGTACTGTTGAAAAGTGTACTGTTGAGAAGTGTACTGTTGAGAAGTGTACTGTTGATAAGTGTAATGTTGAGAAGTGTACTGTTGAGAAGTGTACTGTTGAGAAGTGTACTGTTGAGAAGTGTACTGTTGATAAGTGTAATGTTGAGAAGTGTACTGTTGAGAAGTGTACTGTTGAGAAGTGTACTGTTGAGAAGTGTACTGTTGAGAAGTGTACTGTTATTTTTCTTCTAAACTACAAGAATAGAATCAAGTCTACCTAGATTCACAGACAGGTATTGTAATAATGTTTACGTAAATATCTACTGCATTTGTTTATATAATTTATTTGAAATGAAATATAAAGAAAAATTTAATTTAATGTGTAGATTGGCGAAAGAAAACTGTATCTATTGTGTTTTGATCTTATGAAATAACTTTTTTTTTATTTATCTAAAATCATAGAGGCAGTTATACTTGTAGGACTTGGCCCCGTTGTGAGGGAATGATCTTTCTTAAAAAACAAACAAAATTTCCTGTTAACGATCCCGAATGTATTCAGAACCATTTCTAAAGATAATGGAACATTCATAAATTAAACCTGGAATTCGACATTTTTTTTTGGAAAAAAGACTATTTTTTGTTCATCCCGAAAAAAAAAATTAAAAACAAAACCAACTAAATTCACTTTAAAAAAAACTTTCTATGTTTTAGTAAAGTACAAGCCAAGTTAAAGATCACAACGGACGAATTAGTGATGAATGCTGGCTGCTGCTTAACGTTCATGTCAACATGAGTACTGGAGATGTTACAGTTATCAAACAGCTTCATATCAATTTAGACGATTATTTGTTTTAGAGAATGTGTTCGAGATTTTCCCAAAATAAGCTTAAAAAACAAAATAAAAATAAAAATATATATTTTTTAAAATAGGATATACTGCATGTACCGTAGGGAAATCTGGGAGGCCTGTGGGGTCTTATCTCTCGCCAGACCGCCAAGAACCTGGGAGGCTCATGGCATCTTAGGCATCCATCCCTGGCCAGCCCGCCATGAATCTTGTAGGCTTATGGCGTCCAAGGATTCCATCCCACGCCAGTCCGCCATGAATATGGGTGGCTGATGGCGTCCTAGGCATACATCTCTCGACAGTCCGCCATTAATCTGGGTGGCTCATGGCGTCCTAGGCATCCATCCCTCGCCAGTCCGCCATGAATCTGGGTGGCTCATGCATGAATTTCCTCTCTAATTTCAAAGTGAAGGTTAAAAGATAAGTATATTTATCTTTTCAAAAATCGAAAGAAAAGAATTCCAGTAAAAAATACTGTGTAAAAAGGGTATTTATTGTACTGTACGACTTTTAGAAAAGACCATAAATATCATAATTTTAAGAAAAGAACTTTCCAAAAACTATATTTTTCTTTGCAATCTTGATGGTGTGTTGATATTCAAAACGTTGGCTATTTGAGTTAAAAGAAATTAAATTAAAGATTAACACACTATTAGGTTGCAAAGATATAAGAACTAGAAAATTATAGTTTGTCTCAAGTATTTAATTCCTTTGTTCTAATTTTAATTCAATGAAAATAACGAAAACTTGTTATTGGAAAGCATAAGAAGACGATTCATAATGTCGTACTTTGAAAAACCTAAATGACCTAAAACCTGGGTCTGTCCTAGAGAACAATTTTTGGACCCCATCCTCCTCCCCCTCCTATCAATTTTGAACATGACCACTTATTTTTCAGCAAAATTATTATTATTTATTTTGTATTATTTTAGGGTAAGGTTAGGTTAAAGACAATTTCTAGGCCGAGTGCTGCGGCTAGGAAAGGCTAGGGGGCCGAGCGCTGCGGCGAGGACAGGCTAGGGGGGCAGAGCGCTGCGGACACACGGTCAATTATATCCATGTTTTACGTGTCTTACATATAAGATCCATGTACCAAATTGATAGGAGTGGGGGGATGGGGGGGAGGGTGTCCGAAAATCGTTCTCTAGGGTATTACCTAAAACCTTTTATACAGGGTTACCCACAAAGGATGAGACTTCGGAGACGATTGTACGGAATTAGTTTAGTCCATTTCCTTGTATTCAGGGTTCTCGCAGGCCAAAAATGGCTTATTTCTGTGCTTAATCATTTAGTAGACCAGATAAATACTCCTTTGAGTGCAGAAACCAGAAAGCAAGCTTTAAATCGTCATATTTTTAGAGTTTCAGGTCGTCTTTACAGTTTCAATCTTTTGGGATAACCTTGTAGATACAGGGTTTCCCACAAAGATGAGACTATAAAGACGACCTGAAACTGTTTAATTATGATGATCCCTAAGGTTAAAATAAGTCTTCTGCCTTAAATAAAGTCGTTGAATCGCTAATTTATTAATTAAAAAAACGAAACAAGTGTACAGTGGCACGGAACTATGAATGTTAGAAAACAGATAGTATGAATCTCATACAGTCGTTTCTAAAGCTTGTCCTTTGTAT